AAACTTTTGATGACCATCAGTTTGTACGCATGTTTTGCAGCATGAGAGGGAGAGACTCTTGCGTATCCGCCACTACTTGACTGTAGGTTGTCTATCGCTACCAATGTGGGCGTCTTGGACGGATTTGTGGCTCAATGGGAATGACCTCATGACGAGTCTGAGTCGGTAAGTGCTGTTCTTACAGTGCCTGAAGCGACAGAGCCGAGACTGCTCAGATCTAACCTTTGTTGCATTAATAAATCAGTAAATCCTTCATGCTTCTCTTGGAATGATTTGCTCTACACCATCCCAAAACATTATCCTAAGCGCGAGCGCCCTCGTAAACTGCAAGGACATCGCCAAGTACTGGGATTATTGCTTGCTTTTTACGTAGGTTCAATGCAAAGCAACGCATTGCGCATGATCTTTGGAGTACCGCCTTCTACCCTTGTCGTGTCATCAGGGGAGCTGAGAAGTCGTTGGAGCGTGCGCTCGGGAAATTCTGATTGGAAAGAGTAGCTGTCAAGGCATCGCCTCTATTGCCACAGATAGCCGTTCCAAATATAATGGGGTTTCCCTCCTGGTATTAGATACACGTAATTTCTGTTCGTATCTATAGCAAGATCCTTAATTTAATCAAGTATGTCATACCTTGATATCTCATACCCGTAGTACAACTCATGCAAAACAGGTGAATGTTGCTTGTTGCGGCCAAGTGCAGCATCATCGGTAAATTACGGAAGACGAAAGTAATTTATTTATGGTGAACGTCTTCCGAAGCTACGATCAACAAACAGAGACGGAAATTCGACGAGGCAATTGAGAAAACGTATAATACACACCTTTGTCCATTAAATTACCTCATTGCTATAGCCCGCTTCTTCTAAACTTATCATTCTCCGCCATAGCTCTCTCTTTCTCGACCTTAAAATGTATGTTGATATGATTGCAACCGAGCGTAGAGCGAGATATTCACAGTAGAGTGTCTGTACGTTGTCGTAACCAGAACGAAAAATACAGCTGAAGAGCTGGTTTTCGGAGCACGAGGAATGAGGCTTCCCCTTCCCCATATGTACACTATCCAGAGGAATAGGAGCTCAACCACCAACCACAACGGACAGACGTCCTCGCAAGCGAAGTCGAACTCGCGCTCTCCCGGGGCCCACGGTAGCTTTAGCATTGTAGTCATTTCCGATGTTACTTCGTCGAAAACAAGCCCTTCTACCACCTACGACCCTGTCACAATGGTCATGTCGCCCTGCTCCGTACTATCATGCCTGAAGATGTCCAGGACTAAGCCGTAGTGTCCGTACCTGTGTATGGAACATGTGACACCATAGTAGGCAGTACCGCTACTGTCCGGTTGTCGACACCTCCGCATGCAACTGTGCAAGCTTCAGCCTCAACGGCGCGTCGTCGCCAGGTTGGCGTCAATGAGTACACCGCGGGGGCTCCCGGCGAATGGCTCCGTAAAGCTGTTGTCGGTGTCTCCAACGGAAACTACGTGACCGGCCAGGTTATAAGATACAACGGAAACTTCGTCACCATTCGAACGTTATTTGGTGAATTTAACTCTCGAACGGTGGAATTAGAAGAGGTCGCACCGGTATTGTGTTTTCGGACCGGTAAAAGCCGACTGCGGGCCAAGGATATGACTGGAGATGAGCTGACAGAACGGTATACTGGGATTTTGGACAGAATTCTCGGTACCAATCAACGAGGATCACGCTCAATTCCGCGCCTACTCGCGGGATTTCAACCAGTTCGTGAACAGCCCCAAGCCACCGATACATTCCGGTGGACTAACACCCTAACTGGGGTCGAGTCTACAGTGAGCGTACGCCATGCCGTTGACTATGCGTTCTTCGTCGACGGAAATCGCCTCATACCCGCCAGTACACGTGCCAACATTGGCGACGTATTTGATGCTGGTCCTCGCCATACAAACGAGACGACGGAACCGCCTAGTGGCGAAGAAACCAAGCGAGACAATCTCGAGACACTGTTACAGTCGATTGGAGGTGGCGCCATGGTACCCGAAAACTCCCAGAATCCAAATGCGACGTATCTAGCCGCACCAGCGCTATCCGGTACGTGACACTTGTCCCACATAACTGCCATGCCAAAATCCTAGCTGCTATTAGCGGATGACCCCGATCTCATTCGCTTTTATCTGGGACTTAGTAAAAAAGAACTGGGAAAACGACCTGCTCCGTCGACAGAGCAACGGGGGTCCCAACGACGACGAGTCCTAGCCCCGTCTGACCTGCTCAATGTTTCCGAACCTAGCGAACGACGATAATAAAACGCCTTCAATCCGACCCGGACACAGCAACTGATCAATGGTATCATCGCTGGACCGGACCACGCAGGTAAGGATCCTTCAGATATTGTTGATTCTATGATTTCATCCCGGTCCACAAAGTTCAAGCCACACCCAGCCATCAATACCCGTGTGTAAGACATCCAGTTTGGAGCCCGAGGCTTTTCAATCATGCACTTTTGGCGATTCGACTTCTCTGCGCGAAGGGCGTGGTATGCATACGGATCAGTAAACCTTAGCAATTTCTCAACCTCAGTGGCCATGCCGAAGGCACGGAAACCCGAGTCCCTTGGTGATATCTCAAATGCACTTATGGTCCTGCTCGTATTTGCGGAAGAATTCTTCGACCACCACACTTGTCGGTTGATCAGCGGCTCGAGGGAGTTTGTGTCGAAGAACTACGTAGTTTCTGCCAGTGGAGCTCAGAGGACGTGGGAACTCTCACGTTCTGGTTCGACCGCTTGTTTGAAGACTACAGAGCTGCCACCGAGATGGACACCCGTCATGGACGACTTCACGAACGGAAACCCGCAGGAGGCCCTCCTTGCAAGACCCGGATTTGCAAAGTATGCTATACGTTATCCAGACAGAACGTTTAGCGTCATTGACAGCTGTCTCCACAAAGGCGACGGCAAGAACGGTATCATCTTCCCTTTCGATTGGAACACGTCGGACGGAGACAACCCGTTCGACCAGGAAGACACCTCAAGAGGTCCTTGATGCGTTACCGAAACAAGGTCGACTCTCGGTCTGCATGAAGCCTATCGTCACGAGGTTGCACGTCCAAGAGTGATGACCGGTGTGCGTTTCCAAACCACGCCCACTTCATTCCAGACAACCTACCACCGGTAGTTCGCAAATACATCTCAGCACAGATGGGAGGATCG